CTATTGATTATAAACATGTACTCATAAGAAGTAGGCATGTCTAGACAAGTGATTTCAAAGAATGGACAAGTGGGAAGGGCTACTCTGATAGGTTTGCTAAATATATTGATATCTCAGCATATCACAGAGGTGGAAGATTCATATTTTATATTCTAGCTTGTGAACATCTGTGATTTGAGTTTCTAATTCATTAACCACTATAGATGTTGTATGGCAGACAAAATAAAATATAAACTGAGCAGTAAGACAAGAGGGTGGGTGATGTGACACACAAAAAAGTATATTTAGCATTTTTTAATATTTTATTTCAAATTTAAAACATATATATTATATTAAAATTTGAATTATAAGCTATGTTTTGATGTCAACTTTATGGACATATTTTGATAATAAAGTTGTTTAAATGAATTTGGAATATAACTTTTAAAACATCATAACATGCTCTTTCATCAGCCCGTAGCAAAAAGGTTAGAAACCTCAGAGATCAGAATTGTGAATTAATAATCCAGTTATAATTCATAAAACTGATGTTGCAGTGGTCTGTTTTTGTAAAATACATAAAGACAGATTCTGTTGATTTTGTTATCAAATAGAAAGAAAATGAGCCAGGTATAGCAATGGTGCACAGACCTAATGATGACCTTAAATAGAACTGGAATTGAAGGAAATCCACAAGTTGAATTAAACAAATGGAACAGACAGTGGGACAGTTGATTAAAAGAAAATCATAATTGAAATAAAGGTTCTAACTGATAAATTTAAAATTTTTTACACAATCAAGAAAATTAAGGAAAGATGGACTTCATGAAGAACAGTAACAAAAGGTTAAAATAATAAGCACAAAAATGCTTGTAAATCTAAAAAATACACATCTGAAGACAAACAGTGCTGAGGAAAGAATGAGCCTTTGTTCTGTTGCTCATGAGAATTAGTGCACATGGAGGATGTGTCACCCTTCTAATCATAGAGGGCTATAGTCTAATGATGATTATATCATAGGCTGGAACAATACACATTGACACATGTAGGGGAGGGTGCTTTATTCAAGGCTTTTGGTGTGTACACAAAGTTAGACTACAGTACACAAGGTAACAGCTCTTTGTGGTGCAAAGAGGTAAGAAGAGTTTCTGAAAACAATTTTTTTATGACTTATATACAGCACTTTCTACAAATTGAACTTCAACTCAACAACACATGCAATAAAGTATTGTCTAAAAATAACAAAAAATTTATATATATTTGCACACATGTGTGTGCGTGTACATGTATGAACAAACTCACTGGCCAAAATAGGAAGAATACTAGTCTAAAGAACAGATCAGTCTTCACTTTGTTTATACTATGTTTGTATCTACATGTCGGGGCAATCAAAAAACCACGGATGGACAAAAACAGATAAGCTGTATTAGTATCTGTTATTGGTGTAATTGAAAAGAAAGCATTTATCAAGCTTTGGACAAGGTATTATTGTTGGAGTTTGACTGGTAGGTGCCTTAATTCCAATGACTGTCAAGGTGAGTGGCAAATCAAAGGCCACTGTGTCTGAAATCTACACTGCATGGTTATTAGGTCAGAAACATCATCTAACAAATGTAATGTAGTCATATGAACAACATTTTATATTATTCTGCTATGATAGTAGGGTTAGTCTGACAACAGCCCAATGAAATTATAGGCCCATCCAGCATAGTTTACATTTTATAAGATTCTATAATGTTGTGGGGCTCATGTACATGTTTATCCTTAGTGGCCACATCTCTGCCTATGAAATTTGAGCATCCTAGATGACCAGGTGCACCTTGCAATGCTCTACCTTTAGCCATACAGATACAATTACTTAACTCTTTCAACACGGGCTTGGTCCCTAGTGCCAACTTCATAACCATTTTATGCTTGTTCTAGTTTTCATGCTATAACTTTTAAATTAGTAAGCAAATGTTAATGAAATTTGGCACATTATCACTAAACATTACAATGCTTTCATATGCAAAATATCAATTTTATTTTTATTAAGTCTTAAGGTTTTTCTCCTGCCTTTTTTTTTGCTATGTTGCCTATCTAATATGCAAAGTAATTTTCATTTTAAGATTAAAAATACT